CACCCCTACCAAGTCTGGGGCAGTCCCTAACCATGTGGCGTGTATCACCGCACTCGAAACAAGCTCTGGGAGGACGCGGTGGCTGTGACTGGCTGGGACAAGGCCTGCTGGACTCACCTCTAGAAACACCCCGTGCAGGAGGCGCGCTAGAAACTGGAGGTGCATAGTAAGGCTCCTGAGGTGCAGGTGGAGCTGGAGCACTGCTGGCTGCTGGAAGAGCTGAATGAACAGGGCGACCCGCATAACCCCTACCATAACGACCTGCTGATGGGGTACGGGCACCAGAGTAGTGATCCGACTCTCGAGACCTCTTGGCCTCCCTCTCCCCTCGCTCCCTGGCGAGCATACCCTCAATCCTCCTAGCAATGCTCACTATCTGCTGATAAGGAACGTCCGTCTCCAACTCTCGAGCCATGCTAGATCTGATGTGTAGGATAAGACCCTCAATGAACCTGCGAACTCTCTCCCGAACTGTAGCAACCAAAGCCGGTGCATGCCTGGCCAACCGGGTATAACGGATAGCATACTCTGAAACGGTCATAGCACCCTGGCGCAAATGCTCAAACTCTGTGCGCCATGCATCCCTGAGACTCTGGGGGACAAACTCTCCCATGAACATATCCGAGAACTGGGTCCAAGTCAGTAAAGTAGCCTCAACTGGACTGTCTATCTCATAAGTGCACCAATCATAGGCGGCTCCCCGAAGCTGAAAAGCAGTGAAAGAAACCCCGCTGGACTCCACTATGCCCATAGTGCGAAGAATACGATGACACTCCTCTAGAAATCCCAAGGCATCGTCTGATGCTAATCCACTGAATACTGGGGGATCATACTTCTTGAACCTCTCAAGTCTGCGCTGCTCGTCCTCTGAAGCTGCTGACCCATCGTCGGGCTGAACTGGTGCTGCAGGCGGTTTCGGAATAATCTCGGGAGCCTGCTCAACCTGCACTCGCTGCTCAGGAGTGCGGACGGCGGGAGTCTGTGCTCCTCCCCCGGCCTGGGATTTGGCTGCAGCAAGGGGAAGCAACCCTGCCTGAGCCAAGGTGGTGTACATACTCATGAACTGAGCTAAAGTCTCCTAGAGCACTGGAGTAGTAGTGGCAGTAGTAGGTGTGCCAGGTGCCTGGGCTCCGGCTGGATCTGCTGGTGGTACCTCGGCGGCAGCTCGCGTAGGTGCTCTGGCTGCACCACGTGCGCGTCCTCGACCTCTCCCCCGGCCCCGGCCTCTGGCGGCTGCAGTAGGGGGCGCGGGTGCCTGATCGCCTCGAGTGGCACGTGTCCTCACCATCTGTGAGAGAATAGAAGTCAGAAGTTTAGAATTGATGTCAAAATATCGCACGACAAGGAATTCAAATGAAACAAATATTTTTCCTAAACAGTTATATAGCCCCTCATAGATAAGTACAGACGTCTCCGTACCGATCAGCGAGACTCTAATAAACCGGCCTGTGTTCCGTGACTCCTATGAACCTAGAGCTCTGATACCAACTTGTCACGATCCCCGTTCACCCTCCATGAACATGTCGTGATGGCACCTAGTTCCTACAACTAGGTAAGCCTAACAGTGCGGAAATAACAATTTAACTTGAGGAATAATCAATTAAAACTGAACATATGAAAAATAACAACTGAACATAAGGCCGCTCGGCCTATACAACTCTAAAGATATGCGGAAGTCTACAACTCAATCCCAAAACCCGGAAACTCACGGGAAACACAGGCTAATAGAATTACCATAAGTACTCTAATCTCCAGAATATCTACATCAAAAGTATGATAGGATAAGAGCTTTACAACTAGAATAAGGAAGAAGACTCTTCGGTCTGTGGACGCTGCAGATATACCTCGAAGTCTCCGGGTATCTCCTCGCCTCAAGGATAGTGCTCCTGAGAAGAGGTACCTGGATCTGCACATGAAAAACATGCGCAAGAAGGGCATGAGTACACCGCAGCGGTACTCAGTAAGTGCCAAGCCTAACCTCGGTTGGGTAGTGACGAGGAAGGTCAGGGCCCTACTGAGGTAAAATATAATATTAGTTAACAGTATGAAAATCTGACAGAAATAATGAGTACAGCAGTGAGATAAGACAGGCTAACGAAATAATAACAACTACACAAAGAACAAAATAGACACAGAATGACTACAGCTCAATACCAAGAATAACAATGAGGGTCTCCCAGGATACCGTCCTGTAGCCCTTTTCTCAACTATCCAATGGATCTCCCGGGATACCGTCCCGTAGTCCAACTCATGTGCCAAACCGAAGGATCTCCCGAGATACCGTCCCGTAGTCCAACCATCAATATGCAGGGGGATCTATCGGGAATCTAACCCGCAGTCCCAAAGTAAAAGTGCAGGGGGATCTACCGGAAATCGAACCCGTAGTCCCAAAGTAAACAAACAGGGGGGGGGGGGAGCTACCGGAATCCCACATCCGTAGTCCTAATGTAAATGCGGAACCACAGCCAGAAATATACCAAGGAATGAAGTACGAAATACAACACAGATAGAACTAGCCTAGCATGCTTCACGTAGAACAGTCAAAACAACTCAAGCAATTAGGAAATCAAGTCAACTAAACATGCTTTTCCTAATCTAACACAAGTTATAATTTCAAGTAGAATAAGGAAAGTAAGAGAGAAACCAAATCTCAATAACTTAAGTAAAAACCGGATTTTCCATCAATCGACTCAAGTACGCGCCCGTCACCTCACGTACAAGGCACTCAATTATCAAGTAACAATCCTAAGGGGAAAAGTCCCCCACACAAGGTTAGACAAGCCACTTACCTCGAACCGGCTCAATAGTCAACTAGAAACCACGCCTTTGCCACGAGTATCTGACTCCGAATGGCCCAAATCTATTCAATTCAATTACATAACGTAAATAACATTGCAAGCAACTGGTTCCACTATTAAATTTAAAGCTAAGGCGCAAAAATAGGTAAAATGACCAAAATGCCCCTCAGGCCAATGTCTCGGAATCGAATAATTTTTACATTTTCAGAACCCTCGTACTCTCACGAGTCTAACCATATAAAAATCTCCCAAGTTGGAGGTCAAACACCCATTCAAAACCCAATAGTTTAGCCTATGAAGTTTCACCCAATTTTCCCCAATTTTGGTCCTCAATTTGAATTTTAAAGATGGATTTAACTAGATATTGATGGAATACAACTAAATAGGATCAAGAAAACGTTACCCAATAATCTTCTCTTCAAAATCCTCTAAAAATCGCCCTCTCCCGAGCTCTCAATTGATTTCTCCAACTTTTGAAACTCAACCCTCGAAATTCTCTTTTCTGAACAGTGATTACCGCTTCTGCGGTCAAAAGACCGCTTCTGCGGTCAAAAGACCGCTTCTGCGGTCACGCCTATGCGGAAACTAGGCCGCTTCTGCGACTTTCACTTAAGGCCCAAGGTTCCGCTTCTGCGGACACAAAACCGCTCCTGCGGTTTCGCTTTTGCGGGATATCGACCGCTTCTGCGGTTCCTGAGGGGGGATGCCAATCTCGCTTCTGCGATGACCAAGGACGCTTCTGCGGTTCCCAAGCCGCAGAAGAAAAAAGATACCAGAAGCAGCAGAACTGCTACCTCACAACTTCAAAATTCTTCAGTCGCTCATCCGAAACCGTCCCGAGGCCCCGGGACCTCAACCAAAAACACCAATACCACCTAATACCTTATTCAAACTTGTACCAATCCTTAAAACACCTAAAACAACACCGGAAACCCGATTTAATCAATGATTCAAGCCTAAGAACTTCAAATTTCATCCAAATACGCTTTCGATCAAAAACCTAACCAAAACACGTCTGAATGACCTGAAATTTTTCACACACATCCCAAATGACATGACGGAGCTACTGCAACTTCCGGAATTCCATTCCGGCCCTCGGATCAAAAATTCACTATCAGACCGGAAACTTCAAAAATTCAACCTTCGGCATTTCAAGCCTAAAAGAGTTACGGACTTCCAAAATACATTCTGAACACGCTCCCAACCCCGAAATCACCTAACAGAGCTAACGGGACCATCAGATTTCCATTCCGAGGTCGTATTCACACTGTTCCGACTACGGACCACTTTTCCACACTTAAGCTCTCGTTTAGGGACTAAGTGTCCCAAAACTCTCCGAAACTCAACACCGAATGTCCCGGCAAACCAAAATACCAGAAATGAACTTAGGGAAAGCAGTTAATGGGGGATCGGGGCGTTAATTCTTAAGACGACCGGCCGGGTCGTCACAGGAAGACTGCTTCCCTTTCAAAATGGCAACTGTTGAACAAGGTGAAGGTGACCCATTTCTTGAGCAACCAACTCAGCTCATAATGCCTGATCCCTATGACAATGCTGATACTTATGAGTAGCTCACATCCCCAGCACTTCCTGCAGATGCTTCTTTACCTGAAGACAATGTTGAGACTGACATTGAAATGTTCCATTACAGGACCATCATATACCAGCTGTTGTTGAATCAACTGATGAAGCTAATCCGCAGCCTGAGCCAGTAATCACTAATGAGCAGCCTACATCAACAGTTATACCACAAGATGATGTTCCCTAATGCACTACTAACAAACCTTAGAGGAAAACAGGGCCTCCCATCTGGATGAAGGATTATGTGAATCCTACAAAAGGATCATCAGGTCACAGGTATTTTATATCCAACCATGTTGATTATTCACATTTGTCTACCCCATATCAGGCTTATCTAAAAGCTTTCTCAGTTCTCACTGAACCTAGAAGAATCAAGGAAGTTGTAACTGATAAGAATTGGATTGAGGCAATGAAGCAAGAGGTTAAAGCTCTTGAGGATAATCAAACTTGGGAGGTGGTACCCTTACCACCATGAAAGCAAACAGTGGGGTCAAAATGGGTGTACAAGATTAAGTACAAGGCAAATGGAGAGGTTGATAGATTCAAAGCAAGGTTAGTAGCCAAGGCTACACTCAACAAGAAGGGCTTGACTACCATGAAACTTTTTCACCTGTGGCAAAAATGGCCACTATTAGGAAAGTCATTGCAGTTGCATCATCAAATGACTGGCCATTTTTTCATATGGATGTTAATAATGTTTTTCTCCAAGGTGACTTAGAAGAAGAAGTCTACATGGAGATGCCTCAGGGTTTCCAACAACAGGGGGAGTACAGGGTATGCAGGTTGTTTAAATCCCTGTATGGACTCAAATAGGCTTCTAGACAGTGGAATATAAAGCTAACCACTGCCCTTGTGCAAGCTGGACATATACAAAGCCCATATGATCATTCCTTTTTTACTAAAAAAAGAGGAGCTGGTATTGTAGTCATTCTAATGTATGTAGATGACTTACTAATCACAGGAAGTAATGTTGACTTGATACACGAGGCAAAGGATTCCTTGCATGGTAACTTCAAGATGAAGGACCTGGGGGAATTGAGGTATTTTTTGGGCATAGAGGTGATGAGGTCAAAGGAAGGAATAGTTCTCAATCAAAGAAAATATGCTTTGGAGTTGATCTCTAAAGTAGGGCTTAGTGGTTGTAAACCTGCTTCCACACCAATGGAACTCAATCACAAGCTAACAACTGTAGATTACGATATGCATATGGGAATCACAGAAGATGCAAAACTAGGAGATATAACAACATATCAGAAACTAATAGGGAAGCTGTTATACTGGACAATCACAAGACCAGACCTGTGCTTTGTTGTGCAGGTTTTGAGTCAATTTATGCAAAGGACAAAACAGTCTCATTTGAATGTAGCAATGAGGATCATCAGATACATCAAAGGTTCACCAGACCTTGGTATATTCTTGAAGAAAGGAGAAACTCATACACTCACAGCTTACTGTGACTCTGATTGGGCTGCTTTCCCCAATACTAGAAGATCAATCACAAGCTATGTTGTGAAGTAAGGAGACTCATTGTTATCTTGGAAGTCTAAGAAACAACAAACAGTCAGTAAAAGCTCGGCAGAAGCAGAATACAGGAGCATGATAGTTGTAGTTGCAGAAATCATTTGGGTAACAGGATTAGTAGGAGAATTGGGAGTGAAAGTGCAGAAGCCAGTACATCTACATTGTGATAGCAAAGCTGCGATACAAATAGCAGCAAATCCTATCTTTCATGAGAGGACAAAACATATAGAGATCGATTGTCGTTTTGTGAAAGAAAGAATCAAGGCAGGCCTGATCACTACCAACTACATTCTCTCCAAGCAACAACTAGCTGACTTGATGACAAAAGGATTAGGAACAGTACAACACCAGCTGCTACTCTCCAAGCTTGGAGTGTTTGATGTCTTTAACACTCCAGCTTGAGGGGGAGTATTGAGAGTCAGGGGTTAAAATGTAATAATAGGAAGTTTGAGGTAGTTAGTTGTATAAGAAAAATAGGTTGTTATATCGTACAGTAAATCTGGAAATTTAGATTCACTTGTATATAACCGACCTTCTTCCTAACTGAAGCTCAATCTTTCTATCTCTAGATTCTTCCAATTCAATCAATGGAAATTGTTCTTGCATGTGCTATGTAGTGTTTCAATTGCTCAATCTAGCTCAAATTAACAATAATACACAAGGAAATTATGGCATATATTGATGTAATAGAAGGATAAAATTTGGGGCCCAGCCTGGTCATTTCTTCTTGATGTAAACAGATTCTTTGTTTCTTTATTCATCCTAGCCTCCGTCATTGTAGTATTACTAAATCAGCATAGAATATTATACTTTTCTGTCATATACTATACAAAACCTTTCTTTTAATTGAAACTAATATACAAGTACAAATCTGGGAATTGGGACTTGTCTAGTACCCACGAAGATAATCTAAGCTAGAACCTTTTCACAGACATTATATTTGAATATTTTATTAACTCAAGATCAAATGTCGCTTTCATGATATATTATTAAATCTTTGATAAAAGGTCGCCATGATAATTAAGAACCGTTCACTAGGACGTGACTTAATTTTCTGGCAGTTGTCATGCACATTGATCTCTAATATTTGTGAAATTGCAAACCAACGAAAAGCACCACTAATATAAAATTAAAGGTGAGCAAATTGTCTCCTTTTTCTTTCGCCCCATCAAATGGATTATTATATATTAAAATTGAGAAGAATTGAGATGATGGCTTTCTTCTTGTAGAAGGCTTTACGTATTGTAAAACTAGAAAACTTTTGTCTCCAAAGAATAGTACGAGACTACTAGTAATAAAGCACAATCACACATGGAACCCTAAATGAGTAAACTTTTCAGTTAGTCTCAGACGATAATTTGGAATGTTCATGCGACTGAGATTTGTATGCTTTATAAGGAAATGAAACGGAAAAGAAGCGAAAAGGATAGAGGAAAAACTGATGACAAGAAAAATTAATTAACTTTCGAAGGAAATAACTGCTAGCAAGAATTTATTCCATTGGTTTAACTCAATTGTTTGTGGTCCCATTACACAAATTTAATTGACTTATCTAAAACTCCAGATTATATTTTGGGTTAAACATTCATAATCAACAAAGAGGTATGATTGGAGGTTAGAATCCCCTAACTCTTAATCAGTGATTTGGATTAAAACTCTTAGAATCGAGAACTTTTGATTTGGAGCATTTTAAATCCATTGATAGACTTACTCAGACACTAGTTAGATTACAAAGTTTTAAATACCGAATGATTTTCATAGTCTTTACAACGACGACAACAACAATAAATAATCTAATGTAATCCAGTGGGGTTTAGGGAGGAAGAACCTCCATAGTCATATAAGAGACGTACGCTTTTAATTAAAAAAAAAAAAGATTTAAAGATTAGTTGTTGGGTGAACCTTAGCTTTCAATTACATCAAGATTTACTGTTGAAGGACCACTTTGGGACAAGCAGTCACACGAGACCGACAGTGCAACATGCAAAATAACCATCGGGACCAAATTGAGCTTCAACCTGGAAATAATTAATTAAAACATTAATGCATAATGCAAACACATATGAGCGTAATGTATGTATATATAAGAACACAGCGGAATTCAGTTTTGTGGCTTTCAGAACAGATGAACTGTAATTTATTTTTGACATGATAAGAAATATTATAAGGTAATCACTTGATAAACGTTTGATCAAATAATAGAAATCAATTATAATCGACGTCTTTCAAAAGTTACTATTTAGAACGGGACTAAAAACTTAACCTCCACGAGTAACTAAATATCCGTATTTCTACGGATGACTAATTAATCACTTATATCTATATTTTACTTTACCTGAAAATCTGACATTTCGTTTAGGATGGGAGAACAAAACGGAACCATTTGCACGCACACATTTTATGCATGTGTTTTTCAAATTTTCGACACAAGAGAAATGGGATTCCTATGTGAAGTATGAACAAACGAAATGACATTTTATTCTGGTTTGGCCACCACAAATAATTATATATGCATAAGAATATTTTGTAGTGCATATATATAATATATTATATTAAACTTTAATTTTTTTACTGTATCCTAAAATCTGGCATAAAAGATCAAAGCTAAACCACATGACTATTAAAATGCATGTTTTTGTTATTTCCACTGACACTAAAAGTAAAAAGATAAAGGAATTGGACATTTTGTTCCGGTAGCTGTCACCGGTAGAATTGATGCATCAATTAAATCTTCATCCATGCACATGGACTTATAATTCTGAGATTGCTCCTTTTCGGATTCATATCAATGCACCACTAATTGATACTTAGAACATTGACTAGTGGAATCCCATTTGGCCCACAAAATGAACTTACTTATATATACCATATATGAAATCTTATTACTAAAAATGTGCATAATTCCTAAATTACCCGCCCAGTCCACATTATTTCTACAGTTTTTGTACCAATCATTAAAAGCTAATTAATAGCAGTTGTATCTTCCTATTTATGCGAGCTAAATTTTAGGAGAAGAATATTCTGAAAAGATTTGACGTGAATATTCTGAACAGATTTAGGAAAAGAATATTGAAACGGAAAGGAGATTTTTGTTCTTCATCTTCATCTGTTCTTCCATATATTTTCCACCATTGATAGCCATTAAAAAGTTTGAAAGCTTTGAATTCAAATTTGAATTTTCAAAAATCATTATTTGTTTGGATTGGGTGTTGTTGTAAATAATTCGGAATATGTTTAGGAGTTTATATCTCAATTTTGAAGGGTTTTGGTGAAGATTAGACTTGGTTTTGACTGAATTTCAGATTGAAACTCGAAGAAGAAGAAGAAGAAGAAGACATATTTCCAGAAATTGTAGATAAATTGTAGAATTGTAGATAAATTGTACATTGGGAAGACTAAAACTTCTACAAATCTTCTACAATTATGTCGAAAATGCCAATTATGCTACAATTGAAATGG